GTTGAAACTTGGAAGATGTTATTAATTCTGTAAAGGTCCGTGAGTCTACCATTTTTGGCATGAGATGTTGTGCCGGACGGGCCATAATAAGAGTGATGGTAGCTAGGTCGACTTAGTAGAACAATATTTTTTCGGAAATGTTAACGTTCACATGTGTGGGCGTTTGCACATCGCCCACACGCCTCCATCACCACTTATTTTGCCACGTATGAATAGATGATATTAGCATAATTTTTTTTGGTTTTCGGCTTAAAAATGTTGTATCTCCTAAATAAAAAAGCGAACTAAAAATCCGTTTTCACCATTAAATCCGTCTCGACGAGATCTTCAAAACTAGACCCCATGTTGATATGTTTCGACGATTTGTTTTTGCCAGAAGTTGCCACGATGTTTACACTGCAGTTGCCATAGGGCTTAAACTAAAATTGTCGTGTGGCAATTTTAGTTTGTAGATCATGGCAATTTTAGTATTTTGATGATGGCAACTCCAGTACTTTGATCATGAAAATTATTTTTTGTATGAACCATGGCAATTTTACGTGCATGTATCATGGCAATTTTTGTTTATGGTTCATGGCAAGTCTAGTTTCTTAATTCCCCGTTTTATAAATGTTAAAATTTATTTTTAAATGTAGAAGAAAATAGCTGAAACATATCATGGCAACTTCAGTGTAAACATCATGGCAATTCATATGCAATAGACATGGCAACTTTTAATCCAAAAATTTTTTCATCAAAACATATCAACATGGGATCTAGTTTTGAAGATCTCATCGCGAGGGATTTAATGGTGAAACGGATTTTCAATCGGATTTTTCATTTAAGAGATAAAACATTTTAAAAACTAAAAATCCAAAAAGATTTCTGCATGCATGCATGCGATGACGTGGCAATCTGTTTACATTAGAGACGTGTGGTGCGTCTCTCTTCCTGCCACACGTGTGGCAGTTAGCGCGCCCCTATTTTTTTCTATGTATAAATAGGCTTTTCGCTATTTTTATGTAACATAGATGCTATTTTTCATTCGACCGGTTTTAATTTGCTTTACCGAAAATGACTTTCGCCCCGCTTTATATATAAAGCAAACCATCATAGCCACAAGGTTCAACACAGCACACACACAAGGTAGCACGACACCATGTACGGAGTACGAAAAGGTACTGCTGAGGATACATCTCAACAAGCCCTTAAAATGAAAAGAGAAAGGCAGGCGCGCCACAAACTGTGACGCCCGGGTAATTAAGCTACAGTGATCCTCTGCTAATGGTGCCACGTCACCTCGTTTATAGTTGCTAATCTCGAGTTAGTTCGAAATCAATTCAAATTCAAATTCAAAAATAGGCAAACAATAAAAGTTTTCAAATATTAAAACTAAAGTGTTCGGAGTGAACCAAATAATACATAGGTAATTATGGAGGTGAAACCACATTTTTATAAAATGTTTAAAGGCTCTAAACTAACTAAAATAGCAACTATGACAATTAATTAAATGCCTTTTAAAAATAATGATAATGCAAACTGTTTTAATTAGGTGTCAAACTTTTGGGGCAGTAGAATAAATTATAACATTAAATTAGGAGTTGTATTTATATTTTATAAAACAGAAATTAAAAGAAAAT